GCTGGTTCTGCCGTTTTCTGGCTGGATGAGTCTGGGTGAATCACCTAACCTTTGCTCTTGCCACAGCCTCATCTTCAAATGAAAGCTGCTTTAGCACTGACACCAACGTGGAGATTTAAAGGAGTCCATGTTTGTAAATAATCACAACGTTGTTCAACCCCCATGAATGTGGTCCCTTTGCATGAGGACTGAGTTTAGATTGCCAGTACTCCGGTAAAAGGACAGGCAGGGAAGCGTGTGCCTGTAACCCATGCTGATGGACAGAGACAAACAGATCCTGGAGGCTCACTGGCCAGCTTGTCTAACTGAAGCCATGAGCTCCTCCAGGGTCACTAAGAAACTCTACCCCCCAAAAGCAAGGTTGAGAAGTGAGATACGAAGATATCCCAGGGGTTGGAGGGATGGATGGCCCAGCAGTAAGAGCACTTGCTGCTCTTCCAGAGAACCTGGATTCCATTCCTAGCACCTACACAGCCCAATTCACAACCATCACAACTCCAGTCCCAGGGAATCCAATGCCCTTCTCTGGCTTCCATGGGCTCCAGGCATGCACATGATGCATATATATGTACATCCAGACAAAATATCCACACACACAAAATAAAAAAAAATACCCAAATGTTCACTTCTGACTTCCACACATGCCCTCACATGAACACACCCATATATGAGCAAGCATGCACACACAATAAAGAAATTTCATGGTATTAGATTTGGCTCTATTAGTTATTTTTCAGTTGCTGTGATCAAACACCATAACTAAGGTAACTTACAGGAGAGTTTATTTGGGTTCACGCTTCCAAAGGGAGAGAAGTCCATCATGACAGGCGGAGGCACGGCAGCAAGCCGCAAGCTTGGCAGGAACAGGAAGTTGAGAGCTCACATATTTAACCACAAATATACAACAGAGGAGACAGGAAGTGGAGCCAGGCTTTAAAAACTCTCAAAGCCTACCCTAGTGATGCACTTCCTCTGGCAAGGCTGCCCCTCCCCATAAAGTCTCCAAGCAGAGCCACCAACCGGAGACCAAGCCTCCAAATGTTTGAGCCTGTGAGGGACACATCTCATTTAAACCAGCCCCGAAGTAGCTCAGTGTACATAAGTATTTCACAAGCCAAAAAGAAAACCTGTAGCCACTGTTCTCAAGCATTTTGAAGTTGGGATATTGAGCCTGCCCTGTTTACGAACTTAATCTTAGCAACTCTTGCTTGCCTGCAGGTGTAGCATTTTCTTTAGATGTCCCAGTGTGCTCTAACGTGCTCTGTTGTCTTTACAAGCAAACATCAGCTGCCCTGACTGTGAAGCTCTAGGGTTAGGAGAAGCGCCTCGGAACTCATGCTTGCACAGTGAGCACTTTACCCACTGGGCCATTTCCCCGGCCCTCATTTATGGTTCGGAAAGATTTTATTTTTAAATGTGTGTGTGTGTGTGTGTGTGTGTGTGTGTGTGTGTGTGTGTACACGAGTGAAGGTGTCCGTGGAGGCCAGACAAGCCTCTGGAACTGGAGTTCAATTTGGTCACATGCTGTCATAAGTGCTGGGGACTGAACTCAGGTCCTCTGTGGGAGCAGCAAGCGTTCTTCAGCTACTGAGTCATCTCTCCAGTTCCGTCATTTATGTCTTATATAATCCTTTACACACAGACCCAGAGGTGATAGTATAAACATTTTTAACACACCTGAAATTTGACATCGCACAGGCTTTGGTGTGGCAGCACATGATAATAATTAGAAGCTGTCAGTTACAGATGAGGTATTGCCAGCAGCCCATGGCTAGTACATTGGGCATATGATCATGACCCTCAGGCCTAGCCAGAATACTCTTCTGATGAAGAGGAGATATTTGTGACATCACAAGTCAGGGGCAGTCTGTGGAGCAGAAGCAAAGGCAGCTTTAGAGAAGGGGGTCTTGCCGCCTAAGTGAAGACAGGGAGCTTAGGACTCCCCTGTCCAGCTAGTCACCTCTGTGTGGCCAGTGGAGGCCAGGCTTGAGTTTTGAAAAGATGTCTGGGGCCAAGTTCCAATATCAAACATGGTTTGGGCTATGTCTTCTCTATTCTTTGGGTCTCTAATCACCTTACAGGTATACTGATTTCAGAGGTTCAAAAACAACAGAGACAGAGATGTCAGACTGTCTTTAAAAGAAAGACTGTTTTGTGGTCTCTTGAGTAAAACAGTCCCCCTCCAGATCTGTAGATCTATCCACCTGTGTCAAGGGTGGGATGGGGTGAGGTCAGGTCACAGAGACCCACAGCAGGTCTCACCCCCTTAGATCATCCTAACTGATGGCCTAGAGAGGCTCTGAAGTCCTGGTGTAGTGATCTTTGGCATCCACATGGCTTCAGATTAAAGCAGGTTCTAGAATGGTGTCATCCAGCAGAACTAGGCAGAGTAAGTAAGTCATTTTAAGTGATCCACTAGTCACATTTGAACTAAAAGATGAGTGAAATTTATTTATTTATTTTGGTTTTTTCAAGACAGGGTTTTTCTGTGTAGTTTTGGGGCCTGTCCTGGATCTTGCTCTGTAGACCAGGCTGGCCTTGAACTCACAGAGATCTGCCTGGCTCTGCCTCCGGAGTGCTGGGATTAAAGGCGTGCACCACCACCACCCGACTGTGGAATTTATTTTAATAACTTGTTATTTAACCCAGCACATCCCAAAACGTAAGCAATCCACACATACTGTGACATTCTTTATATGTTTCACAAGTTTTCAAAATCCAAGGTGTGTCTTTCTCAACGTGTCTCAGTTCCAACTGACCACTTTTCAAGTGTGCCAAGTCATGTGTAAGTGGCCACCACAATGAAACACAGAGTCTTTTTCTGAGTTACAAATGTTTGCTACTCACAGTAGTGAAGACATATATTTGGGCCTCCGGGGCTAGAACTTGCTCTAATGCACACGGTCCCAGACTAATCCTGCCTCTGCAGTTAAAAACAACTGGACTTCCCACTGTCCCCCAGTCTGAGAAATCAAGACTAAGAGAGCCTCTGGTGAGGGTCTGGCCCGTTTCCAGGATGGCGATTGTTACTATGTAATCGGGAGGAAATAAACACTATGTGTGCACGTGGCAGAAAGGACAGAAGCAAGAATTCCCAATCATTCACAAAAGCTGTGCCCTCATTACATCATCAGTTCAGAAAGGTGTCTACCCCTTGATACTATCTCATTACGGCATTTAAACTCAACAGGTGAATAGATCTTCAGTGCCATTTCCTCCAGGGGCTCTTCCTTGCCTTGCCCTAGACTGACTTCCATGACCCTTATCCTCCTACCTCCGCATTTTCTGTTCCTCAGTACATTCCCTACTTCTTGCTGATTGAATATCACCTTTATCTTGGGATTCAATCTTTTTTTGTTGTTGTTTTTGAGACAGGGTTTCTCTGTGTAGCTTTGGGCCTTTCCTGGAACTCACTCTGTAGCCCAGGATGGCCTTGAACTCACAGAGATCTGCCTGCCTCTGCCTCCTGAGTGCTGGGATTAAAGGCGTGCACCACCACCACCTGGTTTGAGATTCAATCTTGCCAAATTTCCTGTAAGCCTCTCCCCAACTTAATTTCAGAATCCCCAGGAATCTACCTTTTCCTTCAGGATTATTTTGAAGATCTCATTATTCTGCCTTTAGACACCTGGCTTAACCTGTAGAACATGTCTGCCTAACAGACATGTTTTCTGTTAGCTTCACCCTTCCGCTCCAACACACAGCACAAGGCTCTGGTAGAAACCATATGCTCCTCAGAGTTTGTAGGAATAAAGCTACAAACCAACACAAGCTTGTTACAAATCCCAACGGCGGTGAAGATTCTTCACTCTTTCTCTGGGAGGAACGTCGAACAGCAAGGCTTTGCTGTGTGTTTGATACAGGCTGTGTTCATGGCCTAGGCTGACTGATTCCATGCATTTAAACTTAAAGGCTACATCTCAGGAAGTGTTTTCACATTATGACTCCAAATCAGGAACAAAATCACCTCTCTCTTATAAAAGTATTGTAGAACAGAGAGTGCAAAAATCTGAACTCTGACTTCTTCCTTGAGTATAAGCTGTGCAAATGTACCGCCTAATTTAAACAGCCTCCATGTCTTTGCATGTGTTAGTGATCTGGTAATTATTCTACGCTTCAGGTTTGATTGATGATGAGTGGTTTAGTCAGTTTTCCCATTTTTTTCAGCCTGGATGACTTAGATTTTTAGTTAACCAAATTGCAATCATTTATTAGTTTGAAACTATAATAAAATAATCATCTCATTAAATGCATTACTTTCTCACATTACCCCCCTCGGGGCTTTGTGAATCATAATTTACAGGTTATAAGTACCTTTATGCGGAGGCTCCTTCCTTATAAAGCAAACACCCCCCTTCTAATGTCTTTTAACTAACAAAGAACCTACCTCACCATCCCCGGTCACTCCCACAAGTATCTTTTCATCCCCCCTTTTTTTCCTAGGCGGGGGAATTTATGTTTTATAGATACACAGATAAACACAGGGCATCTGGTTGGACAGACAAAAGTCAGCCTCAATACCTAGGATTCAAACCGTAAATAGGGACTCTCCTTCCCTCCAGTAACTGTAATGGGATAGTTTGTGACATTTCGTTTACAAGGTGACTGAGTTTGTCTGGGACCTTTTCTGGCCTCTATGGAAAGTACATACAGCCTAACTTGATAGGCTGACCTTGCTGGTCCTCAAAGATCTAAGGACCAAATGGTGTGTCCTGGACACCGATGAGCTGGCATTCAGGAGTGTGTGTGTGGGTGTGTTATTTGTGTATTTGTGTTAGAAAAGGGCTACACAATAATCTTTTTGCAACACCAATGTGCACTTGTGTGAAAGAACTCAAGGGAGATCACTGTCAATTGATAGAGGGCCAGTGAAGGTGATGGCTGGAAACCTTCTGCTCCTAGATGGACACTTAATTCAATGGCCAGAGAATGCCTGGGGTCTAAAGCATGCCTTCAAACGCTTCCCATTAGTAAGGACAGCTGAACCTTCCACAGAGCAGATAATGTTTTATTCCATTTCAATTACTTCACCGTTTTGGTCTTTCTCTCTGAGCTAGGAGGGGGAGGGGAGGTATAAAAAGCTCTATTGCTTTAGGATTCTTTGATGCATCTTCGTCATAGTTCATCTAGGCTTTTCCACTCCTTTGAACTCCAGGGTCACTCTTCGGCAGCTTCCCTGATATTTTTCTGGCGAGGTGCTGGCAGGCTTGCTCAGCTTCCCACTTCTCTTCCCCGAACACAGGCTGCGACCAGCGACCCCTCTAAAGGCCAAAGTTCGGGGAACCGGGAGAGCAGGTGTGGGCTCCTCCACGCTCCTCAAACGCCACTCATTCTGGCCGTTCACCCTAGGCTCGGGCTCCTTCCCTCCCGCGCTTGCAGTTCCGGGCTGGCGCTCCTTGGCTCGCCGAGTACCCTGCGTTAGCGAGGGCCGACGGCCCAGCACCGTGGGGCGGATGGACTGCGAGCGCCAAGACACGGCGATCGGGGAGGTGTCCGGGGAAGGCGCCAGGGCCGCGGTGGGCGGGGGTGGGGGCAAGTGCCGGGGCTGTGGCGCTTGCTGGATGCTCGGCGTGCCCGGCCACGCCCAGCCTTGCGGGATGGCGCCCACGCGGCCTCTCAGCACGCGCCCCCAGTGGCCGCCGGAGTAGAGCCAAGCCTCCTCCTCCGCGTAGCTCTCCTGGGTGCCACCTTCGGGTTCCGAGTCGGGCTCCTGCGCACAGGCCGGGGACGGCGGGGGAGTGACCGGGGCACGGAAGTAAGGGAACAGGAGCACGGCGCGCAGCCGCCGCGCGGGAGAGCAGTAGGGCAGCCGGAGAGGCAGCGACATCTGCGGGCCGGGCCGAGCGGGGCTGCGGGGAGGCCAGCCCTGGGCGCGCTCACGTCCCGCGCGGCGCAGTCACGGCCATGGAGGGACCCGGCTTCGAGTCGCCTCCGGCCTCGGGAAAGTTGGCCGGACACTTCTGAGCCCCCACCCGGAGTCACGAGGTGGAATGGAGACCCCGCGAGGCCTGTGTCCGCACCAGGTGGCGTGGGAGGGTCCGGGGCGCCGGAAGAACCAGTTTCAGCCGGAGCGGCCAGCGCAAGCCATTGACACTTCAGTCCCGGGAAGGGTTAACCGCGTCCTGCCGCCTAGGTTTACATGTAAATAGAGAGCTGCGGCTCCGCGCGGGCCCGGGCTGGCTCTTTTAAGTTTTTGATTGGTTGCCAATGACATCACCGCCCGCGTTCTAACACACCAAGCCCACAAGCGCAACTGAGCGGGCCTCCGTCCCGCGGTGAGACCACGCCTCTTTCTCCGCCCCCTCGACCGCCCATTGGCCACAGGCCACTGTGAGGTAGCGGGCGGCGGTCTCTGGATCCTCATTGGCGCAGTGCGACGTCGCTCGGCGGCAGCCCCGCCCCCTCCGAAGCTTACATTTACGCTGTTGCAAAAGAGAAAGTAACTCTGTGTTGCTGCTGGGGATCAATGAAGCTGAGTGAATGGGGGCGCACTGCGCGAGCGCATAGCTAGAGCGGGCGCCAGATGGTGGAGGGCTGCGCTTATTGATGAAGTAAGTGGAAGTCATCGCGGCCACTCAGAGCCCGAGGCTGGAGGGTCCCGTGTGTTTTTGTGTGTGTGTGTGTGTGTGTGTGTGTGTGTGAGAGAGAGAGAGAGAGAGAGACAGAGAGACAGAGAGACAGAGAGACAGAGACAGAGAGAGATCCACAATCAGGTAAGGAAGGTCCTAAGGTTTAGGCTCTTGGGTCTGTTTCCCCTAGGATGAAGGGGGAAAATGAGTTTGGGTTCCGTTAAGATGCCTTGTGGCAGTTTTCAAAGCCCAAGGCTTTGCTGATGCTCAGCGGTGGCGAGGAAGAGGGATGCTAAGTGCCCCAGGAGTGGGGAAGGAGCACTCTCTAACCACTTGGTTTTTTTCCTCCAGTCCCTGTTTAGTGGTAGAAGGGAGCCTAGTGAGGAACAGGGTAGGGGGAAAGCGCTATTTTTGTGGGAGGTTTCCCCGGGCCAGGCTGGATGGCTTTGGAGCTATCTGCTGCAAGGATGCAGATCATGGTGCACACTCTGTGCCTGTGAGCGAGCCGCGCACTCTGTGTGGAGGTGCGGGTCCCAGCCTGTCTCTGGGAACACGTTCTTGGGTCCTGCTCCTAAGGAATGGGCTACTGATCCCGGACATCCCCTACCAGGTAACACAATAGCAAAGACTTTGACTGCATTCGTGGTCTAGCTGGGACACAGTTAAGCTTCTGGAATAGTACTCGCTCTGCAAAAAAAAAAAAAAAAAAAAAAAATACTACGCACGGGAGGCAGGGAGTGAGATGGGGAGGGAGGGAGGAAGGCAGGAGGTTGGATCCTTTGCTCCCATCCAAAGGTGGGTGAGAGAAACCTGAGTCAGCGGGGATATGCCGACCCGGGTGGGTACGTGCTCCTGTGTGTGCTTGTGTGGATTCCGCCGGTGACACTTTGGCTCGGTGTCAGAGAACGGTGACGGTCATGAGTAGACCGATGATCTATGATGTTTTTCCAGGCAAATCTTAAAGTTCGTTTAGGTGAGTGGCTCTTGCTTGGGGTTTGATTTCTTTGCTGTGTACATGGCTAGTAGAGGATTTCTAGCTGTGTTGTAGGGTGGCCTTGTGCCTCGGAAGAGGAGGGAAGTGACCCATTGCAGGCACCCTAGGGGAGGCAGAGGTAACCCCTGTGGGCACCACGTCTCAGCTTCCTAATTAGCCTGTCTGTGGTGAAGGGACAAGTGAAGTTGCCCTCATGAAATCCATACTGTCTCCAAGAGGAATGTCAGTATAGGACTGAAAAAAAAATCTTTGAGAGTTGCCACTCCAATGGAGGTGCAGAGTCTGTACTACCCGGATGAAATCCAAACCCTTCTTTGCTTAGGGGCACAGCACAAGTAGGGGTAAGGGTAAGTGGGGCCAGGGAAGACTGGGTTGTGGGTCAGCCTGGGTTGGGGTCCCAGACCTGACTCCTTTGGAGACTTGGTTTTAGGACAGTTATTCATAGTGAAAGAGGGACATACGGCTTGGTTTGGAAGAGGCTCACAGAAGACATGGAAGCCTTGAACAGGACTGTGTTGAGCTTTTCAAAGGAGCCATCGGAACGGAAAGCAAGATTAGCTCCTAGCCCTGGAGATTGACTTAAAAGAAGATACATTCCTGATTCGCAGAAAGTTGACATCTGCCCCATGTAAATCTAGCTGCCGTTCATTTCTGTGAGCTCTGACAGGGCTCTTGCTTATCTCTTTGCCTTGGCAATGGGTAAAGAAGTGAAATAGAATGCATGCAAGGGAGGACAAATGCATCCATCACAGGTGAAATATACTTCTGCCCAGGAGAGGAGGCTCAGAATAAATCTAAGAGCCTCCCTGCCTGTCTTCATTGTCCCCAGCTCCCTGTGCCTTTACCTTCGCTAAGGCTGAACTTTGATTCTGGTCTATGAAAGGATGCCCATTACCATTTCTAACATCACTTCCAATTTTAACCTTCCACTTAGCATCAGAATGGATGGGGTCCCTCAAGGATGCATCCTCTCTGAATGCATCAAAGTGAACTTCAGGCTTTGACAGTATCATGACCAAGGGCACCTAGAGGAGGACATTGACTTTGCTCAGAGATATGCAGAAGTCTTTCCCAGGGATTGGATGAGACTGCCTTTTGTGTCACATGACTTTATTCTTTCTTTCCTTCTTCCCCTTCTTTGCAGACTCTTGAGTTCTTCTTGAATTGCCAGTTTTCAGCCTCCTCATGCCTCCATCTCCTTTAGACGACAGGGTAGTAGTGACACTGTCTAGGCCTGTCCGACCTCAGGATCTCAACCTTTGTTTAGACTCTAGCTACCTTGGCTCTGCCACCCCAGGCAGTCCCAGCCACCCTCCTGCCATTGCCACCGCCGTTGTGACCCTCAAGGCTGCGAATCTGACGTATATGCCCTCATCCAGCGGCTCTGCCCGCTCCCTGAATTGTGGATGCAGCAGTACTAGCTGCTGCACTGTGGCAACCTACGACAAGGATCACCAGACCCAGACTCAAGCCATTGCCGCAGGCACAGCCACCACCGCCATAGGAACCTCGACCACCTGCCCTGCGAACCAGATGGTCAACAACAGTGAGAACACAGGCTCTTTAAGTCCAGCGGGTGGGGTGGGCAGCCCTGTGTCAGGGACTCCCAAGCAGCTAGCCAGCATCAAAATCATCTATCCCAATGACCTGGCGAAGAAGATGACCAAATGCAGCAAGAGTCACCTGTCCAGCCAGGGTCCTGTCATCATTGACTGCAGGCCTTTCATGGAGTACAACAAGAGTCATATCCAAGGAGCTGTCCACATTAACTGTGCCGATAAGATCAGCCGGCGGAGGCTGCAGCAGGGCAAGATCACTGTCTTAGACTTGATTTCCTGTAGGGAAGGCAAAGACTCTTTCAAGAGGATCTTTTCCAAAGAAATTATAGTTTATGATGAGAATACGAATGAGCCGAGCCGAGTGATGCCGTCCCAGCCACTTCACGTAGTCCTCGAGTCCCTGAAGAGAGAAGGCAAAGAGCCCGTGGTGTTGAAAGGTAATGACCCCCCAACTCCTTTCCCAAATACCATCCTGATAAGTTAGCTTCCCTCCTGAGGTTCTCTTAGAAGTGGCAGCCTTCTCTTTCCCCCTCCCAGACACCATGAACCAAAATAGTCAGTCTTCTTTTTTCCTACCCTTTTCTTTTTATTTTAGTGTAGTAAGAAAATCCAAGTAGCAATGAGTTGATATCCAGAGCTGAATTCCCAGCCTGGATATGACTTCTGTGTTGCCTAAGACATTCCACCTCAGTCAGAGCTTCTCTGGGAGCTCTATTTCAGTCTGTGAGTGGTTGGAAAGTCTTTGTTTCTCAAGAACTAACTAATGTTGATGGCCCAAAGGAGGCAGTATATCTATGGCACATAGCAAATAAATCTGCAGGTGCCAGTTGTTTGTGTGAGAAACTCTCACTGTTTCTCACCCGTCTGATTGTCTTGACTTTCACATTGTTTATAAAGTTATCATCAATGAAGGCAGAAAATTTTGTTTTAAAGCCACATTGAAATTGTGATTTCTCCAAATACATCCATTCCTCGAGGAAAGCTCTGAGGGGATGGAGATATGAACTGCCCTACAACCTTTTGTTCTTTCTGGTGTTACCTGACAACAGTTGGCTTCTGGTTCTTCCCAAGAAGGAGTCACACATCAGTTTCCCCTAACGTGATGATTGGAATCCCCAAAAGGATTGAACTACCCACTCTTCTCTGATCTTCCACACAGTGTTGCCCTGACCTTGTGCACGTCCCGCTTGCTCATCTTTGTCTTCCAACACCGTCCTTCTGGGCTCTAAGCATTACTCTTCTGATAATGTCTACCTGCTCATGATAGAAACTACCTTTGTGTCTTGAGCCATTGGGGAGTGGGGCGTGTCACATCTTCAGCCAATGTCCTAAAGTGGTGTTGATCATCAGTGTTGCTGGTTTCCGTTGAGCGCTTTTCCTGTTGAAGTTGGAACAGGCTGCTTAGGTAAGCAAGCTAGGATTTGTCTTTGTGGGACAGCTCTACCCATGCTTCTTTTCTCCCAAGTGACGTGGTGGGCAGTGCTCTTAGAAGCATGGTTTAGTCACCTTTTGCTTTGCGATGTTCCTTTCCACTCTCTGCTCCTTTGCTGTCTGGGCAGACAATTGTCACAAAGACACAGCTTTCCTTGGGGGCATGTGGGTTCTCCATTCTAGGGCACTGTTACGATGGTGGCAGTAAGTTTTCTTAGAGTCACAAGTATGTCAGGGTTCTGTGGTGTAGCTCTGGTCTTTACTTCGGAATTCTTGATTGGTTGACTTTTAGAATCCCCGAGTGGCTTTAACCCCACTGGTCTTCTCCCAGCATGATCTTGACTTGTCTTTTTTTTGCAGATGAGAAAACACCATCTACAAATTCCCCAACTCTAACAGTTTGTCCTGGCTAACCAAGACAAACAGCTTTCAGGCTTCTTTTTTTTCTCCTGTAGTTGGGATAGGTTTGGTAAAAATCAGCCCTTTTTGTATAGGTAATCTAAGAAGAGTTAGCAAGTACCTCACTTTAAGATGATTCTGAACTCGCACATGGGGCTGATTGTGAGGTGTAGTGGATCCTATCCTCTCTCTTGCTATGGAGCTTGGTGGGTAAAGGGGTGGCCCATCAGTTGCTGAGAAATGTCTCTTCTGAGGAAGAGGGGTTCCTCTCCCCATTTCCTGTAGACACATCTGAGGATCCCTGCAGCTTGGGCTTGCTCATCAGTGTCAGAGTTAAGACTGCCTCAGTGGGGCGGGGCTGGACACGCTGCTGACCTCACCACCAGGCGCCCTGGGCAGCTGCGCTGAGGGCTCGTCATTTCGGATTGGTGCGACACCGTGGCGGCCAGCTTGGAAGACGCTCTGGTGGTAGAGGTTGGGTTATTTGTAGTTTTGGGGGGATTTTCCTTCACATATCTTGGAATTTTATTGAAAATATGTAGTTTAGGGTCCGTTGTCTTCTTTGGTATCATTATTAGTTTGGTACCTTTGGGAGGAATGGTCTAAATTCAGGACCAAGTTAGGGAAGAGGAAAAGGAGATGGTCTATTGAGTTTCTCTGTTACCCTCTTGTCTGGTCAAACCAGAGGTTAATTTTGGAGTGTCCTGGAGGTGAAGGATGAGGTGAGCTTCTCTCACCAGGCATGGTGTGTAGCTTCTTCTAGGTTCTTGAGTGGATGAGGCAGAGCATCCTGGTCTGGCTTGTCTTCTGAGGTTTATTTTAGGACTCCCCTTGTTGGTGATCTAAGATTGTATTTCAGCTAGTTTGGGAATGGTACCATTTTGGAGTGAGTGAATTTTTTAGGGAGCATGTGGCTGGTGGGGTGGGAGTAGATGGTTAGAATATATGGTCGGAAGTCCCCAGGCCTTGTTGATTTATTTTCAGAGATGCCTGATCCTTCTGAGACTCTGATTCGTGTTTGTAAACACTGGTTGCTACCCTCCCGGTCCAACTTTTATGTCTCTCAGTTCCAGTGCCCTCTTCTCCATTTTTGGAGCTGCCTGTCTGAGTCCAGTGGCGGCTGGGTTGCCATTTTAGTCAAGCAGTGTCAGGTTGGGGTGAAACTGATCGGAGGCACAGAAGCCCCTGGATTAAGTTACTGTTCTAATTTATAGTCTCCGCCCTGCTATGACCTAGGTCCGAGTCTATGTCTCATTCTTACCCACTGAGGGGGGCCTCAGACCCTTGCTTCTCATCGACTTCATCTGAGTGATCCAAATGAATAGCTCTTTAGGGATTTAGCCTTTGAAAGAGCTGCATCCTTTCCCACCTAATATTGGCTGTTTTAATCAACTGCAATTTGGTTTCTGGCCTAAGAACGAAGGCTTGACAATCCTTGACCTTCTAAAATGAGAGCGGCTGTTTTTGCTGTCGTGTTTGTAAGGCTATCTTCCATTTCAACAACACTGGGTTCAGGAAAATGTGTCCTTTATGTATGTGGGAAGGGCAAGTCTCCTACCACCCCCTCCCTCAGAGCAATCTAGGCCTTTACAATTTAATGATCAAAAATTTCAAACATTTAGGGAAGTATTAGAGTATACAACAAACACCTCCATACCTACCAGCCAGATTAAACGTGTATTTCCCTGTTCGCCTTCCCTTCCTTTGTTTTGAAATATTCTACATCATAGACAGTAGTCTAATGTTTAGAGTTAGCATTATACATTAAATGGAGCTGGGAGTATTTTACAGGGTGGTATAGACATTTTGCCTGTTAAATACTTAGAGTCATATACCTGCCCATGAGTATTCTTCAAATGTGGAATGCCACTGTTAATGACTGGCCCTTGAGTCTGAGGAAAAGCTTCCCTCCCAGTCCGGGAGACCCCTCAGGGCCTCTGTCTCTGCCTGTGTCGTGGTATGTCAGAGGCCAGGCCTGCACACGCTTCATGCCATTACAAAGCAACGATAGACTCTCTGCTGTGGATTTTTACAGCTCCGCTCTGTACCAGAGGGGTTGAGGGGGTGTGTGGGGTGGTGGTGACTGCAGATGACTGACCGAGAAGTCGCTTAAAAGATGGTTGTAGAACGAGGGGAGACACAGGGAGTTAGATCCATGTGAAAAACTTCCTCCTACTCTCCACTATGCATTTTCATATTAGAAATATTTTCTATTAAAATATACAAACATGGTTCAACTATTTTTCAATGTAAAAATGGCATGTACATAAAAACCTAGTCATATAAAAATATGTAAGTTCATATTACATATACACCGCCTCCAAAAAAAAAAGCCCCCAAACCTTCCACTTAACTCCTGAACAAAGAGCAAAGTTGGCCTAACATTTTCCCTTGGTCAAAGCTGATTCTGAAATATGCGTTAGAAAGCAGTGCAGAGTTGCAGGACACTGGATGGCTGTGCTTTAATTAGAGACCTGTGAAATATTCTTACTCTGCTCTCTTTTGGGGGAGAACTATATCCCCCTTTCTTTGTCCGGGATGTGATAATGCTCTTTTAAGACATATCTATATCTCGAACTTATTTTGTTCTTGTTTTTCTGAATTCCTGATTAGTACTCAAGGCTAAATGCCACACACTAGATCTGTAAAAGTGGACAAATGTAGGGAGAACAGCGACTCAGCAGGCCTGAGGTTTCCTGGTTCCTCCGTTCAGTGTCCTTGGGCAGGTTGCTTAAGCCTTTGGCTCCCTGGCTTCCTCATTTGTAAAAGGGGGGCACACAACAGCACTCAGGAGCTCCACAAGCGATGGTTTGTAAAGTGTTCAGCCGAGCTCAGCGTATGTCCCTACATGTAGCTCGACATTCTTTCTGTGGATTGAAATGTGTCCGTCAAAAGATAGTTTGTGCTCTTCTCTCCAGGGAGTCTAACAACCTAGGTATAGCTGTGTATGTGTGTGTGTGTGTGTGTGTGTGTGTGTGTGTGTGTGTGTGTGTGTGTGTTGCTAGGGCCTAAAAATAACCTGATGACTGTTACCTAATTTAAGTAGCATACAGTTGTGCCAAGTAATTGCACAAAGATGTTGGGTCAAGAGGCTGAGTAATTTGGGCATACCCTAGAATTATTTATTTGTAGGGAGTTCAGGAAAATGAGATGGGTAAATCTGCCCAGCTCATGTCCTGGATAGAATAGTGAAAGTATAAAACTTTTCAACTTTGTTTTCTCTGGCCTCGCCTTGATTTATTTTTGGAAAGAGGATTGTAGTCTGACTATAAAAGGGTAGATGGAAGGAGGGGGTGTGGGCTGCTGCAGCCCTGAGTGGCGTAGAGGAGCTGGAGTGCGAGGGAAGGAGAAGAGGAGTTGATGTTGCTCGTTTTCTGAGCGGGTCCTGAGTGCTCCCCCTGAAGGACCCCAGACTTACCTGCCCTCCTCTGCCTCATTGCAGTGCAAGTGAAAGATAAATGGACTCGTGGCTCCTCCCTCCCACACCTATCTTATTCCCTTTGCTCTTTATAGTTGGGCTTTTTTTTTTCCATGAGACTGAAGTGCATATATCTAAAGAGCTCGTGTGACCCCTCCAGGGTGACCTCTCAGAGGCTTAGGTGATAGC